CTGAGGATCATAGATTTTAGAGAAATATGCAGTGGTAGAAATCCTCTTTATTTTTAGTCATTTATAATAAGTCTGTTAAAATAACCGTGGTATTTTAAAATAGAGACATGAAATTCCCTCTCCTTCATTCTGGGCAATCACTGCTCCTAGACTTTAAGCAAAACCCTAAATTAGCTTTTTGCCCATGGTGCTGGCATTCAACTTATTTTTTAAAAAGTTAGACAATTTAAGTTGAAAGCTAATGTAATTTAAAATTATTAACTCACAGGGAAAAGGATTCTAATTTTAAAGACTCTAAAATGAGGAGATTCTTGATTTTTTGATCCCCCTGATTTCTTGCCAATTTCAATAAATAAAAGAATGGAGATGACATCTTAAGGGCTGGGGAGCACACATGGCCTTTGCTAAATCTGATTATTGATTTTTTTCTCAACTGTAATTTATTGAATATAGTTTTAAAGTTCCTCTTAGTCTTGCTACAGTCAACTTAAATAACACAAACATTTTTGTGCTCAAATACAAACCTATCACTGTGTACCAATTATAAAACACGTCTTTTTCTTTTTTCAAAATTGTCATAATTAACTTGCAATATATTTCATTGTTAAACTAAGTTGTAAAAGAATTATTTAAAACAACTCTGAAATTAATTTTTATTTATAGGAGCCAATACATGATAAAATTAAGGAATAATACATTTGTTATTACAATATAGTACAAGTCACTGTAAAGTAAGTCACTTTTTTTCTTGTCAAGCACAGATATTAAATGTAAGCACAAAACATTTCAACATTCAAAACTAGCAACTTTCTTACAGGAATAAGGGAAATTATCACAGAATATGTTAAAGTCAGAAATCTCATGATATAAAAACAATTATACTTGTGTATGGAAATGCTATTTTTATATTAATAATAATTCTGATACTATCATTTTCTCTTAATTCTTCTGAATTTGTTAATTTGACCCAAGAACACAAAAATATTTAGTTCTTTCTATGATACTTTGTTTTTATTTTTTATTTACAACATAAATCAACATAAAAAGATACATTTGTGTACGTATATTACATAATTTTTTTAAAAAAAAGGACTGGCAAATTTTGTCTCTGGTAGAACACTGGCTTAGCAAATGTGTGAGGACCTAGGTTAGATACTGAACACCACACACAAAAAAAACCCAAAATTAAACACCAACATAAAAGCAATGGCATTTGATTTTTAGCTCTAATAACATATGTTTTTGATGCTGGCATACTGCAGATCGTATGCATATCGTTATTTATAATAATTTAGTGTATCTAAAATTGTGTTAGAATAAAATTCTTTAAATACCTGTGTGTACAAAGGAACCACACAATTTGTGATTCAACCCATGTAGATTGTTCTGGAAAATAGCTTTCGACTGCAGAGTCTTTAAATTTTGACTCAAATTGTCTAAGGTCAAATTCATTTTGTAATATTTATTGTGCTTTGTTACTCATGATTCCAGATGTTGCACTGAGTGTCAGTGAGAGGGCCACAGGGAGTGGGGCAAGGAAACAGCTGCTGCTTCTGCATATTTGGAATGGCATCTTAGAGGCCCTGCCTGGGGTTTGTTCTTAATATGGCTACTGTCTCCAGTAGAAGGATCCACAAGGCCCCTGTTAATAGGAAAAGTAACAGAAACCTGAAGGATTAGGCTCAATTTCTTCCTAGATGACACTTTAATTATGCTTTAGGTAGAGTCAACCTTGAAGGCCATAATTTAAAGCTCCTGGTGCCCAAATAAATTACAAAATTATATATTTTAGGGTATGAAAACCAAAACTTTAACCAAATCGGATTACTTTGTGCAATAACAGTTGAAAGTTGTGGTTTCTTAATCATCAGAGGTCGCCCAGTCTAGGAACTCAAATAAATTTGGGATGGTTCTGTGCTTTGTTAAAAAATTTGATTTTTTTCCTCTTCGTTCCTTCATTCAATCATGGTATAAGGCTCCTTTGATGGTGTTAGAAACTCTGTAGGTCAAGTGTGTAATTAACTCAAAAATTTTACTAATTTCCTTTGCAGTTATATCCTAAATGAACTTTCAAAATAAAAACCAAGGAGTTTACATTTTAAAAGACATGCTCCCAAGTCAACCTATTAAGTACTGAATGTAAATTTTAAAATGTTTCTTTTTCATCAATTAATGTATATCAAATGTGTAATAGACCCTATCAATCACATTCCTGATGCCTATATAAATAAGTTAATGTGTATACTTGCAGGGACTTTCCACAGATTACCGTACAAAGTAAAATAAGGTGACACATGCATTTATTCTTGACTGTAAGCCTCCATTTGGTATAATGTTTCAGGTCTTTGGTGGAGAAGAGGAAAACTTCCCTTCCCAGAACACTTTCAGCTCATTGCCTGGTTTCCTTTATTATGAAACAGACAGGCAGGATAATTATTCCAATCTGGATAATTGTTTTGAATTATATGAATGCCATTTCTGGGTATATAACATTAAGAAGGTGTAGCACTAAACAGCTGCTTTTCTGCCTAAACCACAGAGGTGATGACCATATATTTGCATATTGAAGAATAAGCAAGCAGGTCTTCTTGTGTCTCTCTAGACCATTTCCCACTGTCTAATCTCCTGATGCATTTAAAAAGAGAAAACACAGGTGAGAAGATTGATACGTACCTTATTTGAGAGATGCTTCCAGAAATAAGGTCAAATGGAATTGTTTTACTTGGCGGTACATATCAACATTTTGAAACAGACCCTACTACAAGAACCAAAAGGTTGTTTTTTTACAAATGGATTTAGAAAAAGTGGAATCATCTTTGTTCCACTCTAAAAGACTTTAGTTTTTGAACTATCAAAGAAAAAATTTTAACGTGGCTATCCACCATACAAGGGAGAGTTACAACTATGCTGCTCTAATCCGAGTAATAAAGCAGTGATTAATTTAGCCGAGGGCGTATGTTGAAGAGATATACGCCTTTTAAGAGAAATATTTGTTACTTTCATTCAAGGTGATTTCTTTTTTGTTTTACTTGTTAATTAATTAATTTTTTGGTGCTGGGGATTGAGCTGGGCATTGTGCATGCTGTATAAATGCTCCATCAACGAGCTACCTCCCCAGAACCCTTTGTTATTTTTTAAAAAAAGAACTCTAAAGGGATAATCTCGACAGCATATTTTTATGCATCATTTGGATACATTTTTTAAGCACATCAATGAAGGGAATCTAAGGGCTGAGAATTTAGAAAGATAAGAGAATGAAAAGGAGTGAAGTAGTTCATGCCAGGTTACAGCAGTGCCATCCAGTCCATGGTCTCTTATCTACAAAGTTAAAAAAAGAAATCCAGTAATACTATTAAAAGTAACTATTACGTCTTCTAAGAGATGCAAAATATTTATTAATGAATGTATCCTCAAATCAGTGCACGATCTCTAAGAAGGAGTCAGACAAAAGAGCTAGAAAAAAAAAAAACAGTAATGAAAAATGCAATACCAATGGCCAAGGAGTGTTGTAATTTATCTCTATTTAGAATTGAACCAAACTGATGTTCTTAGCTGGCTTTGCTTTACCTGCATTCAAAGGAAAGCAAGTTCTATCCTTGCATTGGAAAACTTTAGCCATGCAGAAGTCTGGCTGAGTGGCTGCTGGCAATGCCTTCCAATGAATCAGCAGATCTATATTTAAATTTTAGGATTTTATATCCCAGATGTAAAACCAACTAATTTTGGTTAATAAAAAATAAGCAGGAATAAAGAACTAAGAAATTCTGAATATCTCGAGAGTATTAAAAAAACAAACAAACACCTGTAGTGTAAGTATAGCACTTTACAGGGTGTGAAGCTATTTCACACATTTGATTTCATTTAATTCTCAAAGCAACCCTGTGAGGTGTTATCAATGCCATTGTACAGCCAAGGAGACAGAGGCTTGATGTGTTTTTAAATAACATACATTTAATAATAAAGGAATACAGATGAGGAGTAGAGCAGTTAGTTCTCTTTCCATCTGTATCCCAACCTTTACCCCCACCCCTAACCTCTTCTCTATTCAGAAACTGTTAGGTGCATGGGATATTGGAAGGAAAGAACAGACCTTTGTAATTAAACATAGTGGGAGGCCCTTTATATCCTGAGCAACTCTCTAGCAGACTCGTATTTATGGATCCAGACTCACCAAACATGAAGATAACATCAGGTTAATATTCAGTATAGCACAGGACACTTTATAACACTGTCAAACAACGTTCTAGATAAAGTCTACAGCCTACTTTAGGCAATCTTTTCTACTCTGCTATGAAATTTGGCATTCCTCATACATATTCTGGCTTGAAAACAATCTTACAGCGGGAGGAAAAAGATACTTCCAGCTTGTCCACAACTTTTTCTCTGTCAACATCCTAGTAATTATGATTTTCAGAGCCATTAAAAGGTGAGGAAAATAAAAGAAGGCACTGCCAGTTATCAAGTTATCATTTTGAAACTCAGAGTGATTTATAGCTCCTAACAGAACTTTCTCCTTTTCACTCAGAACTGGCTACCTCCTGCTCAATAAGCCCTGTTCCTCAATCCTCTCCAAGGCCTCATCTTCAGGACCCCATTTGGGGCTGTATTTTATGATGCATAAATTGATTTTTTGATGGAATCATGATTCTCTGAAGTCTCCTCTAAATGATGAGCCCACTTTGTTCAGAAATTCTATGACTTTTAAACCAATCAAGTCTTACTTATGTCAGAAATTAAAAGAAACCCATAGTAAAAATACAAAGTCAGGTTGGTTACGATTTGACCTTTAAAAACATAACTTCTGTTATTTCTGGAAATCAGGCCGACAGATTTTAGTATGGTGTGTTTTCACTAACTTTCTGTATAAAATAATTCATGGTTTTGAGCCATAGCAATGTGTAAAATACAACTAGAAACAAAAGTCTTGTACCCAACCAGTTGATTTTTGCTTATCTCACATAAGCCTGTATGTTCTCATGATTTCTAGATGGATTCAGTAATGGACCAAAAAGTCAATTACAAGAGCCAGGCAGCATGAACTTGGGGCTCAGGTTGGAACAGGAATAAATTTGATGGACTTGGAAGATTTAGGTGAGTCCTTCCATGTACCGGTACTATTTGTTGGGCTTCGGTTGTTAGAATAAGAAGTCTGTCTTCTGCTCATACTGTCGGTATCTTTGTTGAATTTTTGCTTCATGTGGTGGCAGCATGGAAAGCTTTGGACACAGTCTTGCAGGAGATGGCCACTAAAAAACATGTATATCCAGGGATTGCAGCAACTATTCAAGGAAGCCAGTAATGCCGTGATGGTAGTGGAAGGGTTTTCTGAATCTGTATGAAAAATATAAAACGAGATTATTTCAATAGTCAAAGCAAGAAATTAAGCATCAGATAAACTCATTTTTCTATTGATTAAGAAGGAAAGAAATGTTAGGGGTTAGTATAGAAAGTGACATTTTATTTATCAGTCAGGGAACTGGGTAGTATTTAGAAATGGCTTATTATAAAATATTTTTGTAAGTAAAATGCCTCAAAACTAATGCAAAAAATTTAAAACCACTACTAAAATATTAAATAGGATGAATGGGAATTTCAAGATGATAAAGCTATGAAATAATTCATTAAAATATTTTTGTACTTTATACTAGCATGAGTATGTACTAATAGACACAGCATTCACACAATAGCAACAATTTGAATAAATTTCAAGACAACAATAATGTATATCAAATTGTATTCTTCCTAATAATTCAAGTAACATTATGACATTATAAGACCATGTTTAGTAGTTTAAAGTTTTACATATTGAATATATTCTTGTAATGTGAAAACAATATATGAGAGAATAGTTTAAATAGATCCTTGAAGAATGCAAGCTTTAGTTATTTTTTAATGGATAATTAGAATTTTCATTTGATTTTTTAAAATAAATTCATCTTTTTGGCTCAATTAAATTATATTAAGAAGGTTGAATTAAAAAATTTCAATAGGCTTCTGAAGCACTTTATATTAATTAGCAGTGGTAAATTACATGAACATTATGAGCTTTCACAGTGATACTATTGTACTGATAATATACTTTTTTCTAAAAATAAGAATAATTAGTAAGCACAGACTTTCCCTTGATTGGCATATACAAACTTGGGTCTTCCTGCTGTTTATTGCCAGAATAAGTTACAGATTAGTTGATAACTTTCTGCTAGATGCTGCTATTGGAGATGATCATGAACCATGGCTGACTGTATTTAAAAAGAGTAAAAATCACCAACAAATCCATGCATGAGTGAAAAATTATTTTAGTAATTGTGTATAAATCTCAATAAAGCAATAATTACACATCAGGTTAAATTTGGCAATATTAGAGGCTTCTGAGACTAAGCAAAACAGGAAATGGTAAATAAAAGTTAAGTGTGTTGTATTTTTCATTATTGGTGGTTAGAAATATTTATTTAAATTAAATTTACACTCAAATGTTTTATTTGCATATAAGACTCATAAAATATATCATATATGCTTCCTACCTCAATCCTTAAAAAACAGATGGCTCCACCCAATGCCTATATCCTGACTTCAGTTGTTATAAGAAATATTTCTGTAATATGTTTGGTTTCAAAATTTTTTTTCCTTTTTAAAAGAAAACATTTTTCAATATGCCAAACTAAATAATATTCCTTTTGGGAAATCCTGATGAAATCAATCTCTCTAGTTTGTGAAGGAATTAAAATCAAACATGCCAGTAGGTGTAGGGAACACTGTCAGAAAATCATTGCAACTCTGTGGAGTAAATAGCTGTATGGTCAAATTAGTGCTGAAAGACTAAAGAATATGTCTAACAAATTAAGTTATTAATAATCCTACTTGGAAATACCAGAAAATAGAAAGTAATTAAGTTAGAAAAAGTTTTAAAGATTATGTCAAGGAAAAGAACATGAACTAATTGCCAACTTAGAATTCTTGACTTCTTAAGAATCTTTTACCAGCTTTCTCCAAAAAAAATATATATATATATATATCTTTGCCCTTAGGGAATTTCTATAAAAGTTTTATATTAATTGTGATACTTTTCATGATCTAACGAAAAACAGTTGTGGTCCTAAAAATGCTTTTCTGAATCCAATAGCCTTGAAAGCAGGATGTGTACACAGCCTTTAGTGATTTAGCAAAAGGTCATTGTTCTGTTTTGAAGTTAGTGGGTGATTAGGACACAGTTCCTGGATTTATGGTCTTAATACCATCATTGTACGCTACAAATGCTGATTCCTTGGCCTCATTGTAGAGATATCGAATTATAGTGTCTGGAGTGGAGACCCTAGGAATTGGCATTTTTTTTTTCTTGTGTTTAATTTTATATTTATCTGAAGGACTGGGGTTTTATATGCTCCAACAGTAGGTACGCAGGTCCATGTCTCACTTTTTTTTTTTTTTTTTAGTTTCACATAATTTTCACATGTCATTAGAAAGTCATTCTTCCTCTAAAATGTTTTTTTAGACTTTGTATTTTTGACAGTTTCCCCCAAGATGTAATTTTTGTGCATGCCGAAGTTTAAGCACTGTTTAGAGGACAGTATGGAAAGAAATACTTTCCCTCTCTCCCCTCCCCTCCCTCTCTCTCTTTCCCTCTCTCTGTCTCTATCTCACACACACACAGACACACACACCACTGGCCTCCACTGTGTCAGTACCTACCGGTCCAGATGAACTTTTCATCCCAGACCGACCACATCTGGATGATGAAGAAAGGAGCCCAGCAGAGGATGTAAGCCGTCACAATCACAAAAGTCATCTTTACGGTGCGAATCTTGGCGCGGGAAATGGTCTTCACACTGCTGACACAGGGCGCTACCAGAATCCCCTTATGGAGGGCGTCCTCCGCGCCGCTTGCGCCCTTGCTTTGGCGCGACGCGGTCTTTCCGCGGATGTTGCGCCAGATGTGGTAGCAGATGAAGCCGTAGCAGGTACCTAAGATGACCACGGGAGCCACGAAGATGCCGCTTGTCATCCAGGTCACATAGGCTCGGGTGCCCCAGGGCTGAATAAAGGTGGCCCAGCAGTCTTGAGCTTTGGTAACATTGTTCACCTCGATCATGGAGAAGATGAAGTACTGTGGCGTGCTCAGCACGAAGCTCAGTACCCAAGAGGCAGCGATCATGAAGCGCGAGCGGCGTGCCGGCTGCTGCAGAGTCTTGAGCGGGTGGCACACGGCAATGTACCGGTCTGCGGTCATTACTACCAGCATGTAAGCCGACGCGAACATGGCGAACACTTGCAGGTGTTTCACCACGCGACACAGCCAGTCGGGTCCGCGGAAACGGTAGGTTATGTCCCAGCACAGCTGCGGTAACACCTGGAAGAAGGCGACAGCTAGGTCGGCCAGGCTGAGGTGTCGGATGAAGAGGTGCATGCGGGACGTCTTGCGCGGTGTGCGGTGTAGCGCCAGAAGCACGCTGCTGTTGCCTAGCACGGCCACCACGAAAGTCACCGCCAGCACCGCGATCTCCAGCTTGGCCAGTTCCTCATTGCGCCGGTCTCCCGGGGGACTTCCGCCACCTTCCCCAAGCGCATCTACTTCCTGGCTCGTGTTGGCACTATCGGCAGCCAGAGGCCACCACGAACTGGAGTTGCCCAGCGGTCCCGCGTCGGCGCCTCTGGAGAAACGCATGCTGTCTATACAGCGCTTTTGAGACCCGGGGCAGCGCAGGGAGCTCCTTTCTCACCTCGGGGGACTTGGGTTTTTTTTTTTCCCCAAGGGCGCTGTCCTTCCAAGCTCTGGGCTCCCGGGGGACCTTCAATCCTCCCGCACGCTAGCACTTGTCCACTGAGTAGCTCTGGGTCCGGTGCTGCAGTCCCTCTCCTTGCTCTGCCTTTTCCAAACTCCTGTAAAGGTGCGCTCCGAGCTTCTGAAAGCGCTGGGGCCAGAACTCAATGATTAATGCAGAGGTTGATTCCCCGGGACGCGCTTCCTCTCGCCCTAGTGGCTGGAGACTGTTCTTGCCTCAGTCCAACTTCCCTCCTTTCGTTGGCGATTTGTCCTCTTTGCATCATTGCTGCAGGGGTGGGGCTGGGAGACCCGAGGATCCTTCGATTTAATAGGAGGAATCAGGGCGATCTCTCTCGTTCAAAAACTTGGAGAACCGGACGGGATCTTGCCTTTTCGAGGCTCGTCACCGTTTCCTTAAGCTTCTTTCACCGGCCACCTTAAACCCACATTTGATTCAGCAGGCGAGTAAGCGCTATATCTGGAAATCTCAGGTCTATGCAACCGCGCGCTGGCTCAAGCACCTACCTGAACTTGGCGCTAAACCCCACGTCCTCCAGTCGGAGTTTTTCTCGGCTCACTGATCTTATCCCTAGGCAGCTAGTCTGGCTAATTTTATTCCCGTGGCAGTTTTGCTCCCGCCTCCCCACTCCACTCTGTCTGGTAACAACCTTGTGACTTAAAGGATGCATTCTTCTCAATGGGACTTGGTGCCCGCTGTTACTGTCTTGGTTTGCTAGAGGGAAGGACACAGTCATTAGTAGTGAAGGGAAAGGAGCATCTTCTGATTTTCCAGCTTCTGTGTAGGACATGGGGCCTAGGGAGTTTTCTCTAAACTAGATTCCAGAGAGCTTCTATGGGAAAGCCGGATTCCCACTGAGGGGATGGCGGAAATTGGGCTGCTGTAGTCCATGGAGACTTCATTTGTTTAATACTGGATCCTGCAGACTTCTCTGTTCTCTTCTGAAGGCTAAAGAACAGCTGCCAATCAACATCCACCCTGGCAGTGCTGTCCAGGGCAGAGGAGAGAAAAACCTCCAGGCTTCCGTTCTCAGGGGTGAGAAAGAGGAAATCTTGAAGCAGAAAACATGCTCTAGGAAAAAACACAGAAAACACCACCTACTTCTATTAGTCACTCTGGACAACTATTGCTCTGCTGCGGGGGTAGGAGAGAGAGGACCCAGAGGTAGACATACACATACCTTCAGCTGTTTTAGCTTTGGTGAAGGTATGTTAGGAAAGACAGCAAGGGGGAGCTGTTTCCGGCTATTTTCAGAAGAAGGAAAAAGAAAAGAAACACTTTTATGGGGTGATTTACTATGTAGATTCATGAACATGATAGTCGTAGAACGTTTGTGTGTTGTGGCTGTAGTATACATTTGATTGTCTCAGAAAAATTTTACCATTTGTGAAATGCAGGCAGATAAATGAAAATATTTTTATTCTCAGTCATAATTCTACTTTGCTATCTGCTTCTTGCAGGCAGACTCCCTAGGGTTGTCACATAAAGAGTGCTGGACTCGATATGGGAAGTCCTGTTTCATTGTGGTTATTAAGCCTGGGACCATGCATCTTAAAAATGGTAATAAAATTATCTGCCATTCTTACTTATGGAGCTACTTAGAGAATCTAACGAGTCAGTATTCTGTGTGGGAATATGCTCTGAAGACAAAAATTTGTGTTGTATGGGCTTATTTTCTCCAAGATATCCAGGAAGCAAAAAAAAAAAAAAAAAAAAATTAAAATGGTTTAGGAATGATTATAAGTAAAAGATAATTTGTTTGGAAATTATTTTTCAAGCAATCAGGTTATAGTCTTTGACTCAGAGATATGACCTTCTTTTAAGTCACAAATTACTTTATTAGTTCTCCTTATGAAAAATAATGTGGACTGACTCTAGGTCCCTGGATGTTGCAAAAGAGGTTCATTATCCAGAGCTTCTTGATTTTATAGGTCTTGGGCCTACACATGTGAATTTTAGGTTACATGGGTGAGGGGAATCTGCATTCCTGAGTCACCAAAGTTTCTTTAGGTGTTCTTAGTCCAGACAGATGGTGTGTGGCCTCTCAGAAAATCATGTATCTGTGTCAGGCAGTCTTACCCAATAACTAAACTATATCCAAATACCCGGTTTATGACAATAACTAGGTTGCATCAGTGGATACAATTGGAAGGTATTATTATTCAGCAATAACAGTATCAATTACTCATATATGTCCTTATGTGTGTATATGGATGTGTATTCTAATGTATGTAGGTATCTATGCATGTATCATTCTGTTGGGTGTCATCAGGTCTAAAAATCAGGGAAAAAAAGTGTTGCAGATTCCAGAACAAGATCTTCTTTCAATTCATATAGTTAAGAATATTATCTTAATTTTACTGGTTCCATATTCAAATGAAAGCAAGACTATCAAAATACAGATCCGCTATTCATGTACTTCACTGAACTTGCTGTGAAAGTTCCCCAGGTTAAAAGAATTGTGATGTTAAAATGTGAAAAGAACACAATATTTTCTATGTCTTCTTGTGCTTTTTTTTTTTTTAGCCTATTTGGCATTTACTCTGTATTTTTTGTATTATTAAGACTTTTTCCCTCTTATTTTCCATAGATGTTAGTTAATATATTTTGAGGATTAGATGATGAAATTATGCATACGTATCCTGGAGTAATCATCTCTTTCATTTGCTGGTCTTTCTTTCTCCATTTTATAATTCCAGATATTTAAGAAGTATTTCAGCTAATAGAAACAGCTACCTTTACTTACTAGCTGTGTGACTGTTTGAATCTTCGAGCTTCGGTTTTCCCATGTGTAAAATCTTAGTGATAAACTATAATGCAGTTACTGAAAGGATTATATAAAAGTTTGTTTAAGGTTTTGGCATTCCATGAGTGTTCAAAATATTAATTTCTTTAAAAAATATTATCTATATGAATATATATTAACGGCTATTTTGCCATTGAAGTTTTTCCTTCTAGTTAAAGCAGCATATCCCCAACTTTCTTAAGTGTAATAGAAAATATCAGTAGATTTTCAATGAAAAGAGTCCCATGTTCAAATACAGGGAAGAAGGGCTGTGTATATGCATCCCATTCCTGTTCTGGAAATTTGTTCATGAAAAGGATTTGAAAAAACTTCAGAAAAGAAGACTATTGAATGCTGTTTATTAATGTATCCCAAAGTTAATTGTGGAAAACTTCCATCTTTTAATTTTCCCCATGGAACAGGGATGAACATATCATAGGACAAGGGACACGGTTTGAGTAGCACCAAGTAAAGAGACTTGGTGTCTGAAATAATTGAGGATCACCTCCAGACTTAGTCAAGTCAGAAAATTGGAGATTTGGGTCACATTTAACCTACTCTCCCACAGGCAGGGAAGCCCAATGTCAATAAGTTACAATTAGCCTATCATATTACTTTCTGGACTTTTCATAGATACTATTCAATATATCGTATTTCCTCTCCTTAAACTCTCAGTTTTCTTTTCTGTCTTTACTTAGAAAAAGGAAGAAACTAGGCATTCTGCATTATCTACATATCCATTCTACATCTAGAGCTCACAATGACCCCCTTCCCTTTAATTTATATTAATGCCACTATTGTTACAAGCCTGTAGTATGGTATTGATATTATTGCTTTAGTAAATGAATGAATATTTGTTGTACCTCTCTGTCCTGGATCTTGAGCTGCCTACATAGAAGGATATAATAGTGGCTATTGTTTATTAAGCACAATGTTTCAGGCACAGTCATACATGCCTTACAAATATTATTTCACTTAATCCTCCCAATGATGCTGTGAAGGATATAGTGTTATTATTTCAGAGGCAGAGAGAGTGTAACTAGCCAGCCTCAGGTGAAACAGCTGGCCAATGGTAGAAGCAGAATTTGAACAAAAGCAGCTGTCTCCAGCAGCATTTGTAATGTCAACCAGTGCACTGTACTGCTGTCTGTAAGCCTCATGCTCCTAGATCTCAGACTTGTATAGACCACATGATTGGCCATTTTCTGTTCCATCTCTATATAATATCTTCTTCATTAAGTCTAGGTGATCTTCTGGGATTTGCATTGCTTCTTTCATATCTTTAGTTTGCTCTTTGCCAAGCCAATTATAGGGCAATAATAGTTGAAGTAGTAATGAGAATAATAGATAATACAAACATTTACTAACATTGATTAAATTTCATGAGCTAAGTACCTTAAATTCATTATTTCAATTAATCTTTAATACTTAAAATTGTGTGTAGGTGTGCAGGGTATAGTTATATTTAATCTCACTTTACAGAATAAAACAAGTTTGCAGAGGTTAAATTGCAAGCCTCCAGTGACTGAGGGGGGTCTCACATGTAGGTCCATTTGAAATGAACTTGGTTATAACTGCTATGGCCCAGTGCCTTCCATGCACATCATGAACACACCCAACACACCTTTGCAGAATTCATTAATAAGTATTGAAATGGAAACTTCCTTCTGGGAGTGTTGAATGAATGTAGGATTCATAAAGTGCTTAGTGACTGGATAAATTAAGAAAGAATTTTTGAAGAGCTGTCTTTGAGCACCTAAATTCCATCGTATATTTCTGAAGGAAGGGATCACCATTTATATTTGAAAAGGATTTAAATAATTCTGGTCATCTTTCTGCACTGAGAATCCTAGACTGGTAAGTTTATTTGATTTAAAAAAGTATCCACTGAATGAGCTTTTTTTTTTTTTTAAAGGAAAACACACACATACACACCCACACACTGAATTCCAAACATGTGTTGCAAGTCAAGCAGGGGAAAACATCAGATCTTCATTATAGTACTATTCACCCCAGAGGGTAAAATTAAAAAGGAAAACTGTGTTCAGTCCTATTTATGGAGCTTTATTTTCTTATGTGATCAAGCTGCCTTACATATTGAAGTGCAGA